AAAATTCTAAATATTTTAGTTCTTTAAAAGAAAAGCAAGATTTATCGTAGAAATTTTTATGTTTAGTAATAATGTAGTAAGATTAACTTTTCAGCAAGATTGTAAAAAAAGAAATTCCGTCCAAATTCTGAAGTACTGTTCTTGAATTTGTTGCATTGTTACGTTACCTTTTATGTTTACTAAATCTTCTTGCATCTCAGGTACGTTTGTTTCCAATTTTACCGAATAGTAAAAGAATGCATTACTTTTACGAAGATTTAAAGCAGCTTTTCTTGTTTTCGAATTTTGGAATAGCATTGCTATTTACGGACTCTTTTAACAGTAAAAGGGCTTTTGTTAGTAGAAGCAATAGGACATTTACAAAGTAAAAATACAAAGTTAACTAAGCTTGTAAAAAATAGAAATAGAAAAACATTGACACACGAACGTAAGATATAAATGTCAAAGCAGCTTTAAAAAGTTATATGTTGTGACATTTCTTCTGGATGACTTGTTACTTGAAAGATGTTGTCAAAGTTACCAATACAACTGAAAACTCTTTTAACTTGCCTTTACAAGTGTGACACCAAAATCGATAAAGTTACAAATAATTTTTTTTTTATTCATCATATGCTATCATTAGTAAAATGTAGCATTATATTTTCAATATTAAATACTATATATATTAAGTTCATCAGTTCCATTTAAAATTTTAATAAGCTCCTTGTATTTAAAAAAAATAAAATATTGATATTCAAAAGTGTGTTTACTTATAAAATAAAATTTTATTACGTTGATATCCTGTGACTTTAGCACACTCCTTGATTCTCTCTCTGTATATAAATTGTAGCATTTTTCAGACGAAAAGAGATATAGCATTTTTGTTCCCAGGGGAAAGGAATGTATATTCTTTAACAAGTTCATAATAACAACCTATCACTTAAATCTGAGAGAAGATAAACAGTATCGTGGATATTTATATCACATGCAATTAATGTTTTGTTCTAATGACAACAACCTGTCACTAAACTCTGACAGTAGATAATACATATTACCATGTACTTTATAAAATCACCTGCGTGTAATTATTCCCACCTATTCGATGATGATTTTTGACACTGTAATCCCCTTTTGTAACCTTCCCTGTTTTTTCTAATAAATACCTGCGGTACTGTCTCACTGCTGGCGACAAGGCCGGTTCTCGGTCGTGGTATTCAAATCACTATTCCCATCTCCCCACCTTTTTTCTATATCTTTTTAACATCTTCTACATCTTCTCACTTTAGTAATTGGGGATATAAGCCTCTAAAGCCCAGGTGCCCAATTTCTCACTCCCCCCAAGTGTCTCAATTTGCACTCTATCGCTGGGTACCATAAGTTTCGGGTTCGAGACCCGGCGGTGTCATGGATATTTGTAGTGGTTATAAATTCATTTTAAGCCGTAGGTCCCGGTCTCCTGTGATTATAGAGCATCACTGAGTGGTAGTGGTATTTAACTGGTATTAAGTGGTGGTATTAATCCATGCCAAGACGGGTTGAAGCTGTGTTGCGCGCCAAAGGTGGGCCAACTCGTTATTGACAGGTGGTCATAATGTTTTGGCTCTTGAGTGTAAGTGTCATGGATAATGAAACATCATGAAATTAGCGATTGTCTGTTCGACCTTCACAGTTCGAAACAATTGCAGATGTAATACGGACTACGTCATGAGTTACGGCATTGTGATAGGTGATGTGTTACGTCATTGAGTTACCGCTTTGTGATGAAACCATTGGGCTGAGGAAGTGCCCACTCAAATGAGAAGTATGGGAAGTTAACCCCCCTCTTGACAGATTTTCTTAAAGGGATGTTTTCATAGAAGGAGAGAATGTTCTGCGACCAGTCGACAAGAAGTGTTGTTTTTCTTTTTTTCTGTAAAGTGACTGAACGGGCCAGAGATTCCGCCTGCTTACAAAGAGAGCTCTTTGTGATTTCGTGTTTCACGCCGAGGGAGGTCTGCGGTAGACAGGATGCAGTAGATTCGTCGTAGGGTTGTGTACTCTCAAAATTTCAGACCTTGCAGTGAACTGCACTTGTAAATAAAATTTAATTCTTTTATTTTTAATTAATTGTAAATAATAATTTGTAATATCCCAATGTTCTGTACCTATATATGTATAATCCTCGTAAAAAAAATTTAAATGTTTCCTTGAACCTGAAAGTGGCCCTCTTCTTGAAGCTTGACGAGATCACGAGAGAAACGCCGACCAACGAAATTCCACACATATTCAATCGGCGACATATCCGGGGAATACGCAGGCCAAGGAAGAAGCTGTACCTGCCGCGTTGCAAAGAAGGATTGAACAGTTCTAGCGATATGAGGGCGGACATTGTCCTGTTGAAATACAGCGCCTGGCAAGCTTTGAAGGAAGGGAACAGCTTGGGGCTGTAGAACTTCACTGATGTACCGGTTGCTGTTCAGATTGCCCACAATTCTTAGCAATTGAGATCGTCCATGATATGCTATGGCATCCCAGACTATAACTCCGGGTGTTCGTCCACTGTGGCGTTCGATAATGCACACCGGAAGGTGGCGTTCACCGGCACAGCGTCTGACACGAATGCAGCCATCATGGTACCACAAATTAAAGCGGGATTCGTCAGAAAACAGGACATGCTGCCAATCAGCACGCCAGTCTCTATGCTGAGAGACCCATTGTAGCCGCAGGCGGCGATGGTTTAGCGTGAGAGGGATCCTGTATAAAGGAGTCCTTGCACGCAGTCCACGCTGCAGCCGACGTCTATGAATTGATGAAGCACACAATAAAACACCTGTAGCTATTGACCACTGTGCTGCCAATTGTCTAGAGGAAGCTGTACGGTCCGCCAGCGCCATGCGGACCAGGTGTCTATCATAACGAGCTGACATCACATTTCGTTGTCCACTCCCAGATTTCCGTGTTGTCCGACACTCGTCCGTCCACTGCTTCCAAAGACGCATCACTGTGCTGCTGTTACGCTGCACACGAGCGGCTACTGCACGATAAGAGAATCCAGCTTCACGAACGCCGATGATTCTCCCCCGTTGAAACTCTGTAAGTTGTTCAAATCTCGCTCTCTTTCGTCGAAGAGGCATAAGTAACGATTGAGCTAACGTTTACCCCTGTATATATATACATATATATACACTCAAGAGCAAAAACATTATGACCACCTGTCAATAACGAGTTGACCCACCTTTGGCAAGCAACACAGCTTCAACCCGCCTTGGCATGGATGCCACAAGTCCTTGGTAGATGGCCGGGGACAGATTGTACCAGATGTTTAAGCAATGGTCACGCAAATCCGAGATATTGCGAATTATGTGGCCTTTGAACTCTGAGCTGCCGTCCCAGGACATCCCAAATGTGTTCTATCGGATTGAGTCCGGTGAGTTAGGCAGCCAGGACATTAACTGGAATTCAGCTTTATGTTCCTGGAACCACTTCAACACAATTTTAGCCTTGTGACAAGGGGCGTTGTCGTGTTGGAACATTCCATTTCCAGCTGGAAAAACAGAGTCCATGTAAGGATGCAACTGGTCCGCAATGATGTTCAGATACCCTGTAGCATTCATGGTCTGCTCTACCCAACCACGGGTCCCAGAGACGCCCAAGAGATCGTCCCCCAAAGCATAATATCGCCACCACCGGCGTGTGTATGAGCTACTGTGCATTGAGGGAGCAACTGTTCGCCTGGAAGACGGCGTATCCTGACACGGCCATCGGCGTGATGAATGACAAACCGTGATTCATCTGACCAGGCAATTCTCTCCCACTGATCCATGGACCAGTCACGATGTTCCCGGGCCCAGCGCAGGCACAGTTGGCGATGATGCTTGGTCAGCAAAGGCACACGAGTGGGACGTTTGCTGCGTAGCCCCATATCCAACAGTGTCCGCTGAACAGTGTGCTCCGATACCATTCTACTTGGCCCCACATTGTATTGGGCTGGGAGCTGAGCCACTGTCTGGCTCCGGTTTTGCTTCACCATGCGAGACAGTCTCCGAAGACCTTTTTCTTTGATAGCGTGTGGACGTCCAACACTATGTCGTCTACTGCTGGTTTCACCGTCATTCATCCACTTTGCATAAGTACTAACAACTGTAGATCGCGAACAACCCACGTGTCGTGCAGTTTCGGAAATACTTGTTCCGAGCCTTCGATCCTTTATAATCTGTCCTCTGTTAAAGTGGCTTAGATCCGCAGCCTTTCCCATCACACTCAGAAGTAAGTGAAAGAATGATTCTTTAGACTCTCCAGCAGCAGTTAAATACCACTCCCACCTGATCACGTGCCTTCCACGTCATCCAGGCGAGTTCATTGCAAAATGTAGGGATGGTCATAATGTTTTGGCTCTTGAGTGTATATATATATATATATATATATATAGAGAGAGAGAGAGAGAGAGAGAAAGGTTCTTAATTTTTTTATCTTAAATTATTATTCTTTAATTTTTGTACAGTAAAAAAAATTACAAATATATTCTAACTATTTATTTTTTAATTAAAAACAACAGTAGAAACAATAATTAGAAACGTAGAAACAATAATTATTCAGAATACAGAAACACCATTTGATACTTAACAAATGAAGATTGCATTCAAAAGAAAAAATGAATAGAGTGCTTATAATAAGGAATTAAACAAAATTTTGCTTGTTTAAATTCTCTGGCTGTAGCATGCACAACAGAACATCACCTCCTTCACTCAGAGATAGCATGTTAAAGGTTCATATCCTCTTCACATTTTTCTAGGTGCTCAACGATAGGACTGTCTAACTAACGAATTTATCGTTCTCATACGCGGAATTAAGAAAGGGGCTTCAGTTCGACTTCTCGTAATTGTAACCCAATTTCTCTAATAGGGACCCTGCACGCAGTATATCAGGTCACTTTGCCCCCCCTTCCTGTAATTAAAACATAATAGATGCTATTTTTCAAGCATTTTGTTTCATACAGATTATATAGAAAGTATATCTATTGTTAGAATCTACAGAAGATTAGCCTACGGCCATACCATGGTGAATATACCGGTTCTCGTTAGATCACCGAAGGCAAGCATCATTGGGCGCGGTCAGTACTTGGGTGGGT